AAAAAATCCGGTACTTCCTATAGAGAAATTTCCGTCTCTTACACTACTCAGGAGTGCGATGATGTTGCAACACCGTATTATCCAATTTTCTCTCTATTATCTGTCAAGTGGTCTCTTTCGGGAGGTTAAAAACAAAAGAAATTTTAAAACCTTTAGCTCTAAAAGTGGTCGCGGTCGCTTACGAGAGGTGGTCGCTTGCGAGAGGTGGTCGCGTACAAGTGGTTCCGAATATAGTGATTTGACTTGGAAACTTTTGGTATTTTGGAATACTCGTCGCTGAGGAGAGGTGGTCGCTTACGAGAAGCGGCCGCAACCGTAGGTTCGACTGTATTTTGCTTGTTTCTAGTTACTTTAGATGAGCTTTAGGTCTAGGGGAGAGGTCTTTATCAAGTTCCGTGATTTTCTATGTGATCTGCATTTACTGATAACGGAACTAACGTATTTTGGGACACCGAGGCTCTACGTTGACATTTATAGCTATGAATATACGCTTTTAGTTAATTTTCCAAATCCCACAAAATGCATTACCTGAGGAACTCAAGGAAATCAAGTTCTTATATATATTAATCCATTTTCAGTTCAGGATTGTTATGTCAACTTTGGAGTTGTCTCTTGTTTACAAACACGTAGAACAGCCCTGAAGAATTTGTTCATGATCTAACTCTGTGTTTATTTGGTTAAACTTAGGTATCTTATTGGTTAATAGTTTCTAGTAACATCCAGCGTTATTAAATACGACTGAAAGCTGCTTTGTATAATTTTAAGTATAAGTTTAGCAACTTTGGTTAGCAACAGAAACAGCGCGATAAACAACGACAATGATCTTTTAAACTATTAGTTGTTGGGAAAGATAATCAGTTTGTGTGCATGTAATTACACCCGCTTTCAGTGTTACGTGTATGCCATCTTTCGACATGTTATGGAATCTGGCCTGCCTCAAAAATGTAAGCACAACTGACTTCTTTACGGTCAAACTCAATTGTGTACGTGGGGTTCCGAGCCACTTTAAATTTTCGAAAATTTAACGTGGCTCTGAACCCCATGTACAGAAATTTTTTAAACTTTGCCAAAAGTTGCGTCTTATCGTGTTTATCACAAGTTGATAACATAAAAAAATTTCACCGTGCCGTTTTTGAATTATACGCCCCTAAACCTGTAATTAAGAGTGCTTTTAGGAGATCCTTCTGTTGCTATGGTAACCTATTGTGTTGGGTAGTTTTTTCATACCATGATTGTAGCATCAAGTGATAAAGAGTGGTTATAACGACCCATCCAAATCTAAGTGTTGGAAACTGTTTTGAGCCANGGGCAGTTTTTTCATACCATGATTGTAGCATCAAGTGATAAAGAGTGGTTATAACGACCCATCCAAATCTAAGTGTTGGAAACTGTTTTGAGCCACCTTTAGAATGACTTGAACCTCTCTTGAAAAGACTAGCCCTTGCACAATTATATATGAAGATCTCGTTACAGGAATGGCGTGTAAGAGAGATGGATTAGCCACCAATAAACAACGGTCGGGTTGAGCTTTTAAGTGAAGACAGCTTTTAAACCCTTTGCTTTGCTGCCTTCAATTTATACATTTATACCTGATGTTTTGAAAACTAGGTCCGAACAGCCCAATAACACCTAGTGTCTAATAGAGTCATGTAAGCAGTGCTTACCAAGTTCTGCACTCCACACTTCATCTAGTGCAAAAAGGAAATGACACTAGAATCTCTCGGCCACCTGTGGATGAATTCAGGCTTAACTGTCATCATATCAGATAAAAGCTCTTTGCAAGCATGCCTTAATGACAGCAAACTAAGTGCCTTGAAATCTCCCCCTCCCCACGGGAGTCAGGTACCACTACGCACATATCAGTCCCCTTCACGACAATAATGCAACCTTCTGCCAAGGCAATAAACCCACTCGGCTTTGGAAAATTCCCTGCACTTTAAGGATTGTGTCACGTTGGACAGCTAAGTGCATACTGCATGCTCTCCACTCAGCAGCCGTCAGAGTGACTTCAGACTATGGACACAAGTTCAAACCGACCCCAACCCCCTAAATTAAGGAATAGGGACCCCAAAGAGGTATCCACAATTAGCCCCACTCTTGCAGTTGTCGCCAGACTTTAAGGTAATGGAGCCCCCTCAGGAAAATAATGTGCTACGCTGAGCTGAAATCGATGCCGCAGGCATCGATTTCAGCACAGCTCGCGGAGTAAAATTAGGTATGCGTTTTTCANGAATTCAGGCTTAACTGTCATCATATCAGATAAAAGCTCTTTGCAAGCATGCCTTAATGACAGCAAACTAAGTGCCTTGAAATCTCCCCCTCCCCACGGGGGTCAGGTACCACTACGCACATATCAGCTCCCTTCACGACAATAATGCAACCTTCTGCCAAGGCAATAAACCCACTCGGCTTTGGAAAATTCCATGCACTTTAAGGATTGTGTCACGTTGGACAGCTAAGTACATACTCCATGCTCTCCACTCAGCAGCCGTCAGAGTGACTTGAGACTATGGACACAAGTTC